GCTGCCGCCGCCGCGCAGGCAGGTCCTAATGCCTGTCACTTCCCAGGACATTGGCAGCGGCAGCCCGGAGCCCCCGAGCCCTGGGCAGGTTTGCCTGTCCTTCCCGGCGATCTGATTGGATAAAGTGGGGGTTCGACGGTGGCCGACGTGGGACAGTCTGGCTGTGGCAGGGGTCTCGGAAACCATGGGTTATTGCAGTGGCAGGTGCACGCTTATCTTTATCTGTGGCATGCAACTGGTAAGTGACGCTTGGGTCCTCTTATTCTGTAATGTGCCTTTGAGAGAGTGGGCAGGGACTGTAGTAAGAGGTCTGCGATTGAGCAGGACAGAAGGAAAAAGAAAAGAGAAAAGGTGACAGACATTACCTGGGTTTAAATTGATTTTAGGGGTGCAGGAGAAGTGAGCCTTTGTGCCCTCCCCCATTTCTGCCCCTCTAAAGACAGTTTTGCAGGTGCGGGTTAAACTTGTTATCTTTAATTTCTTTAAGGGAATCGAGATGTAGCTCTTCTTTTATGCCTGGCAACCCTGTTAGTGTAACGGGGTGATTGTCATATATATTTTACTATATGTGTGTGAAGTGGAAATACAGATTATCAGACTTTTCTTTCATATACTTGTTTTGCAGTGTCTTTATTCATTGTGATTTGATATTTTCTAGGAATATTTTGTCGTGTAATTCTCTTTAAAAAACTCCTTGTTTAGGTCAGATGGTATTCTTACAGCATTCTGAGCTAGAAAGCCACACTGAGTTCTAAAAGTGTGTAGATTGAAGAGAAATACTTAGATAAACTCTGCAATACCATTGCTACAAAGTGAACCAGTAACCTTTAAATCATTATTGCTACAACAATTCTAAGAAAAAAATAATATTTTGTCTTCCGTTGTGTATGGTATTGCCACTGAAATAGATACTATTGTCTGATCTCACAGGATGGAGAATTATATTACTTTTTGAGGAATGTCCTGTAGCTGCTAAAAAGGCAAGAAGCCAATAATGTCTCTAAATTTCAGTTCCTAAGGGCCATGGAAGGAGGGGCTGAGGGGAGTGTAGAGGTGAAAAATTACGACACTGGCAAATGGTTAATTTGAGGTAGGAAGTACTTGCTTCATCGGCACCAAGTAGCCTTCCATAGAATTAATCTAAATAGTTAGCCTCGCTTGTTTTAAGAAGGCTGGGGAATTGTAGGATGGAAGGCATTATTGAAAGCCTAGTCATTACAAAGTGCTTAAATGAATAAGAATTTGCTGTTGAAACTGACAGAATTCCTTAAGTTTTCTTCACTGTTTACCAGCTGTGAAGACCAGCAGCAAGTTTTTTTTTTTTAATTTTTAATTTGTTTAGCGAAAGTAGAGTTTTTGAGGCATTTCAGTTCTGATTTTTTTTCCCCCTCCAAGGAAAGTTCCCTGATGATGTATTCTTGGATCTGTGAATTGCGTACTATGGACTTGGTTGTAAAGGAAAAGAAGACAGAACAAGTGATACAATTTTAGGAGTTTTAGGTTTTCACAATGCTATATAAACCAACTTCTGGTTCTCTACCATAGATTAATATAAGTTTTGCAGCATGCCACTTTTGCTGTTAATGATAGGGTTAACCAGAGTTTACTTTGTAAAACTACCTATACAGCCCAGATGTCCCAAGTTGTATTACATTTTCCAAATGTTTTTACTTTTGTATATGTTTCAGAATATTTTATATTTGCATATTTAGAGTGTAAAAGCATAAAACTGAGAATAGGTTGGTGGGTAAAGCATGCTTATGTTCAGTTTAAAAAAAAAGTAAGTTAATACTCTTTTAATGAAAGAGGGGTTTTATTAATGTAGTAGGGCAGTTGTATGTATTAGATCAAATGGTATTTTGTGTGACTGCTATACATTCTTAAAATAATTGGAAAAATATAAATATACCAGCAAGTAAGGTAAGTTTACAAATATGATACAGCTGTAGTTTTCTTTGTGTTTGTGCCTGGGTGCATGTGTGTGCAGGTGCATATGTGTCCATGCAGCTGTGTATTGTGGAAGAGTTAAAATACTTATCGGAAAAGATACCTTAATCATGGCCAAGTTCTCCAACCAAATAAAGTTGTCTGCAAGATAGGAATGCTCAGCCTACGCAAGCGCACATTTGAGTCCTGAGAAGTGTCTTATGCTTTATGAGAATCGTGGTCTGTTTTCATTCCCACTTCTTGTGTCAGCCAGCAGACTAATATAATTAGCAGCCATGTTAATGCAGATGCAGAACAAAAAACAAAGGACAAAGAAAATTAATTGTTTAGATAGGGTGAAATAATCACACCCTTTAGGACCTGGGAGATTCTTGTTAATTGCTGTGTTGTAGAGATATTTATGTACTTGTACATAAAATATGCCTTTGCAAATAGTTGTAGAACACCTATGAGAAGAAGCTAGTGTTTTCCTCTATGCTTATGGATATAAAATGTTTATGTATCTTTGAGCTACATCACAGATCTCCAGAATAAGTTTTGAGTTGTGTATCATTGACTGACATGAAACTTCACGAAGTTTTGTTGACTTCTGATGTGTTCAGCTTGTGTTAGGACACTTGGACACTTTTTACTTTCATAACTGTACCTTAGACTTGTTAAAAGTGAAGGAAGCCGAAGATATCTAAGTTTAAAATCTTTCTTTTTTTTGCATTAACTTTTTAAAATCTCTACAAGCATTAATCTTGAAACTTATAAGTAGAATACTGTGTTATAGTTGAAAGATTACATCAATTTACAGCTAATCTTAGGAAAAGATGTGGTATCTTTAGGTACTGTAGAAATAGAGACCTCACTTGTCTGGTTATTTTCAAAGCAGATGAGATATTTTGAACATTTAACATGCAAAGAACAGGGTGAAAAGCTCCACAGGCATTTTCTGGCCAGGAGTCTATATCCTTGCTGTGAATTATGTAAAATATTTTTTCTCTTAATGTTTGGCAGAGTGTAAGCATAAACATATACTATTGGAATATCTGGAAATCAGATTGTAAGATAAGTTACAATTCTGTACTATGATAATCCAATATAAAACTTCCATTCTATGAGAAAGTGTCTGCTTGTCTCCTAAATGGAAATCTTTGAGCTGTGTGGTTAAACTGGCTTCAGATATAAGGGTGATTCTTGCAAGAAGGGATGTGATTTCTGGAGAGAGATTTGCTTCATTGGCAGAATCCAGAATTTAAGCTCATAATCGCTAGAATGTAATTTCCTTGTTATCATTGTTGCCTTCACTGCTCAGAAACTGAAGATTTCAGATAGTAACAGAAATCATCACTGTATTTCCAGTGATGGGTTTAGTAGTACAGGCCAAGCCCAATTTAACTTCTTATTTACAGTCTTCAGACAGGTAGTGAAAGAGCCTGCCTCTTCCCCACCCAGTTTTACTTTGGGTCAAAGACTACTTCATATAAATGTTGAAAAAGAAGTACTCTAATATTTTCCAGTGACAAGAAATAACTCAATTATAACACAGAAGAACATAACTTATTTTAGATGGAAAACACAACTTTGTTTGCAAGTAAGCGAGCTTCAGATCTCACACATTTTCATACGTCAGAGGCCAGTGTGGCATGAAGTGTGTATCTCATAAACTACTGAAAGTCTAGATTTGCTCTCAGCTGATTACCACTTGCAAGTGATGTTCTTGCCCGTGTCATCTATGAAATGTTACTAACCTGGAGCAGGTGTCACTAACAATCAGGTTAGCAGCAGGGCCTGCAGCTGGGTGAAGCAACGCATTTGGAAATTAAGCATGATAGTTGCTTTCTCCTGCACAGTTACTATGCATTTTAGGCCACGGATGTAGACATAAATAAAAGTTTTCCTTTTAATTATAGAGTACTATATCTGTTGTGGCTCTTATGCATTGTTCTCCATTATTTGGTGAATATTTGATTACTTTGGAGAAAATCAAAGCATGGACATGAAGTAACTCGGGAAGTGTAGGTGGAGTGTTATGGTGTTCTGGGGGTACTGCATTTGACATGTTGTTCACGGATCTAACTCACGGAGAAGAGTGAAAATTCCCATATGGCACTTTAGAAAGTTGTGAAATTGAAACATTCTAAGGGGTTTCTAACTTGTAAAAATAGCTTCTCTTGTTTGTAATGTTTTCTTCACATGTACAAGAACATTTTTTGGTATATCTTAAAACACTCATTAATTGTAATTAAGCATAATTATTTTTTCTCTAAGGTTTACCAAGAAAAAGATAGAAAGTTCTCTTGATATCTATCCTTGTGTCTTTAAAAAAAAAAGTGGCAAATTGGTATGATGTTCTATACCTCATTTCAGTCAGTCAACTTGTAGAACTCTTTACCCCTTTCTCCATACAAAGGCTTGGATAGGCAGTACCCTCTGTGCAAAAGGTCAGCATGTTCCTAGGGTGGAGCCAGGATGTAGGTGCTGTCTCGGAAAAGTAAATGGCCATTGTCCCCTCCTTTCCCCAAATGGTGCTTCTTTACTTTGGAGTCAAATTTTCTACTTACCTAATCAAGAATTTCAGAATAGAAGTCAGGGATACCTTGAAATAGCAAGCTTGCTTTCGGGGGGGGGGGCACTGTTTCATTGTTGGATATGTATATGTCCTCTAAATTAGAATTGCAGATATGAAAACAAATTTTCACACCTTTGTGTTTATAACAGAAATAAAAATTTAATGCTAGCACCAATTGTACTAAATATTTTTTATATATTTCTAGTGCCTAAGATTTTTAGGGAGTATATTTTACTTACACTGATAGATTTTCAAATTATACAGTGTCATCTGCCCATAGGTTTATATTAAACTACCACTATACCTTACAACACACAGGCGTCAGAATCAAACCAACATATGGGAAGCATGTCCTCATCCTAATATCTTTCAGTTTTTGACTACCTCCCTATGGAAACTTGATAGCTGTTTGTAGCAGAATAAAATACCATAATTTGTCACCTAGCAGTGGGAACAGATTCTGAGAAAAAGCATCATTAAGTCGTTTCATTGTGTGAACATCATAGAATTTATTTACACAAACATGCATGGATCACTTGCTACATGGCAGGTGGTAGAATATGGCCATGGTCTTATGTATGCCTGCAGCCAACTGAAACACTTCAGAGTGTGTGGCCATCCATAGACAACTTTGGGGCAGATATATTGCATGCAGGGTTCCTTTTTTAACCTGTCTTTCATAATAGTGATCGGTTGAAATAGTATTTACACCTAAGGTCTCTAATACATGAGAG